CATGCAATTTCCCTATTGGGTTGAGGTCATGTGTAAACAATACTTTCCTGACCTTCACCTCCTAGGCCACTCCGCCTCTGACCCACATGAAGAATATTACAAAATGGCCCAAATGCTGAGAGACCCCGAAGTTCTTGGGAAGACGCCAAAGCGCGCTGACTCGCGCGCATGGCCCTAGCAAAAAAACTCTCCACCCTAAACCCACAACCCTAAGCCCAAAACTAACCACTAACCCTGAACCCTGATCCTACCCTAAGCCCAAGGCAAAGCCCGGAGCCTAACAAAAAACCTAAACCCTTTACCCGAACCCGATCCGGTAATGCCAAGAGATTTCCTGAAATCTCAAAACCCAGACCTCATATTTCCTTGGGAATTACTTTTCAGTTTTTAGTATAGTGCAACAGTATGACCCTAAGGAATTGTTACATTTACTGTTTTTTTTCAGATCCAGGGAGATGGCAGAGACCTGACTTGTCTTCTTGCCAAGAGCTTGCAGGAGTTGGATGGGTCCTGCTGAATGGAGGAGAGATCCAGCCTGAGCCAAGCGTGGGACATAAAGAGCTCTTTTTTCGACGCTTAAGCCCCGAACCCTAAACTGTAAACCCCTAAACCCTAAACCCCTAAACCCCTAAACCCCTAAACCCCCAACCCTGAAACCTATGAGGGTTCACCGAAGCAGATGAAGAAAGGACAAGAGCATTGAAACGGCGTTCAGGTTTTAGGTTTCAGGTTTAGATCAGGAATGCGGATAACTACAGTTACTATCTTGCTTATAGGGGTTACTAACCTACTTACGAAGTCCCCCTGACCCTCCAAGTATGGTCTGGGGTTTAGGGTTGAGAGGGTTGACGGTTTAGGATTCAGACTGCAGAGTCATAGGTTTCAGGCACTTCTAGGATACCCTTAAGCCTAACACATTCAACCCCAAGTCCAACCCTAAAGCCAAAAACCCTAAATCCTAAACCCCAATGTATACATGATCCTGACACTTCGTGAGTTGCAGCTGGTTGGAAGCCTCTTAGAAGTTGTTTCCGTCTTCTCTTATAAAGGGGATATTCACATAGTTATATCAGGGTTAGATAGGATTGTAGAGAGGGTGTATAGGGTTATTTATGGTTATGCAGGGATCATGCAGGGTTATACCGGGCTATATACGTTAATTGCGGGTTCTACAGGAATTATGTAGGGTAATATAGGTGTATATAGGCTTAACTCAGACGAAAACGGACGCAACCTTAAAGTATAGTTCCCTGATGTTATCCATTATAGGGCTTGCCATGCAAGTATGGGAGGACTTTGGGTTTTGCTCACCATGTACAGGGTTTAGGGTTTAGGATCTGTATATTGATCTAAAACCAGAGTCGTCCTGTTATGGGGATCCCAAACGAGCTATCAGGACAAGTAACTTTGAAGAAGGCACGTGTTAGTGCCCTAGGGTCCGTGAATCAGGGTTTGGGGCTTACGGGCTGTCGCCTCTTCCCCTAAATCCCAGTGAAGCCACTACCAGTCCCACTGCTGCCACCACTACAACCACCAGCTCCAGAACCACCACCATGCCGCGACCCTAAACCCTAAACCCTAAATCCTAAACCGTGTGGCTCAAGAGCGGTGGGCTACGTTCATTTGTCCCGCGGTGCCTTGCTGGAGGTTTTCTGGCTCGTGCCTTGGAGAGAAGGAGAGCATTGTGCTGTAGCAGTGTTTTATAGGGGATTGTAGAGGGATATACTGGGGTGATAGAAAAGAAAAGGGACAAATCGATGTTATTTGGGTTTGAGGGTTTTGGGGTTTAAGTTTGGGGTTTCGGGGATTGAAGGTCCACTGTCCGGCATGCAGGGTTTGAGGTTTACGTTTCAGGATTTCCTGCAGACCCATGATTAATGTTAGGAGGACCCCCCATCCTGTAATAGTGGTATAGTAGGAATATAATAGGATCCCAGTATAATATCCTGTAAGCCACTATTACTGGGTGGGGGGGTCCACCCAAAGCATAATCCCTACTAGAAGCATGCAGGCATCCTTGTTGAGTCTCTGTTGTGTTCTTCGGAGAACAGTGAGTCAACATCATAAGAGCTATGGTTGAGACTCCTTAAGGGGGGCTATATAGGGGACTGTAGCGGACTGTTATAGGAGCTGTTAAGGGGGATACTACTACTAGTAGGAGTTTAGACTGTAGCTCATAAGTTTTCGGTGGTCTATACATCTACATTGAATCTACATGTGTAGAGGAGGGTGTAGCTGGTGTTGGCCTAGCGCTTGTTAGTTCACCCGCAGGTACACAGGCACATGATGTTTTTTCAAATCTGCATTGGCTGGTGCCCTCATTTGCTATCCACACTCATGCCGGTTCCAGTATCTACATATGGTCATGGCGATTTGTTCGTACGAGAGTGCAACAACAGGAAACCTGGTGATTGCAGCTCAGGTGGAATGACGACACAAACAGAGGAGCAGCGACAGCAGCAAAGTCGGCATGTGCCTCAGTGTTTGCTTACTGGTGGTAAGTCGGGGAACTAGGGAATGGAGGAGTGGACCACAATGATTATGATAGGCTTCCTGTAGGCAGTAGTATAGGGATGCTCCATGTCACCTTAAACCCTACAACCCAGACCTTGAACCCGAAACCCGGAATCCTGAACCTCAAGCCCTAAACCCTAAACCTTACACCCTAAGCCCTAAACGACAACCCTTAATCGTAAGCGCTAAACCCTGGAGCTTTGCAATGATGGCCCATCAGGTTGGACTACCCGATCAACGATGCGGTAAAGGGAGAGGTCCGTGCAAGGCCATCCTGCCGTCAGATTAAGGAGCCCCTTTATCAAATATTTGGGGTTTAGGGTTTAGGCTTTAGGGTTTACCACGGGATGCCATGGGGAAAGGGTTTATTAAGGGGGATACTAGGAGTTTAGACAATAGCTCATTGATAAGTTACCGGGTGGATAACCCCATGTAAGAATATATTGCTCGTATACGGGTTGAGGTCATGCAGGCCTTCTACTCTTTGAGCGTACCCGCCAGAATTACTCACGGATTCTTTGGGGGAAGTACAATTTAGGGACCCTAAACCCTAAACCCTAAAACCTAAACCCTAAACCCCTACTGTGTAGGTAGATCCGGAGCCCCAGATGGGACACAAGGTCCCTCCTTCAGGGTCTGTCCTATTTGGGGATTGCCCTAGGAATCTACCCTAGCAAGTTAGCGTCCTGGACAACATGTCTTGCAAGGTATGTTCCACCACCCGGAGCCAGAACCCCAGCAAAGGCTCTTGCATTTGCTTGCCTTTAACGTGAACCCTAAAGTTACTTGTTCATACTAGGGAATCAAGGGCTTTAATCCCTATGTAGTCCCTATATTATTTTAATATATTGCATGAAGAACATTCATAATCCCTACAGAATATGTTTCCTTATTCCCTACCAAGAGCCAGTGAGATAAGGAAGTCGGACAGCTGGCGCTCAATGTGGGTGACATTGTGTGGGTGCCTGCCTTGGTCGGTTTTGGGGATGTTACCCGGAAGAGGGTTGTAGGGGTTTAAGGGGTTTAAGGGGTTTAAGGGGTTTAGGGTTATTCAGGGTCTGGGATTTAGGGTTTGGGGTCTAGGGGTATTACCTTAAAGGGGTATGTACAGGTGTTTAGGATTTAGGGTTTAGGGATATGAGGCTTTCCCTGCATTTGCTATGTAGAGATTATCTACGGGTTACGCAAGGATGTATTTGGGGTTTACGGTTTAGGGATCCAATAGCAGAGAATTAAATGGAAAAGAACGTTGAACATGAAGTTGAATATGAAATGGAAACTGGAAGTATGGCTCCTAGTCTAGCTGGTACTTGAGGGGCAATGGGGGAGTGGATGTCTAAAATGATCGCTAAAAATGGTAGGTTGTCAAACTATGGTTCTGTTTTGGGTCCCCATTACAATGCAAATCCCAAATATGTGAGGTATTCATTCAAAAAGGGCTGAAATTTTGACAGTCCCCCCAATACATCTTCGTAAATACCCCAAGCATACTGCCTATGTTCACTCCACCCGTTCCTGTTAAGCACCATCAAGTCAACCGCCCAGGTGCTGGAAGAATCCGATGATGGATGGTATGGTGGTCATAAGGCCAGTCAAGTAGTATTTTATTCTAAGTAGGAAGTCCCCCATACAGAAAGACAATTTCATGATATATCCTCGTTTGGGGTATGGCGGGTATGATTTGCTGACAAAGAACGGCGCGGAAAGACTTTGATGCCCGCAGCTACAGCCCTAAACCCAGAGACCCTTAAAGCGTGACAGGATGGCGATGAAAACACCGGCTGGTTCCCAGCATCCATTATTAATCGGATCCCAAGAGGCGCGATGCCCAAGCTTGCTGCTTTATGGAATGCCTAAACCCTAAACCCCTCAACTTTACCGGCTGCAATATGTGGGTAAGAGAGGGGCCTATAACAGAAAACCTAAACTTTCTGGATGTCATAAGTTGGTTGCTTTTAACAACTCTAGCGTTGGATATTTAAGGTACTAGGAAATGGATCATGGAAGTTAAGCCGGGTCTATGTAGGGGTTTTCATTGGGTCACGCCACTTTCGCTTCAGAATCTTCGCTCTCACATGAGCAGTATTTTATTTGGGGGATACTATGGTACCCATTATAGAGTAAGATTCTATCCTCCTTTTGGGGTAGTATTTTATATAAGGAATATTATCTTACTAGGTTCAACCACTATAACCCCTATCATCCCCTATATACTCCTAGTTTCCATTTCATTTTCCATTTTCTTTTCCATTTGATTCTCCATTATTAAGGGGGATAAAATATTATCAACCACCAAAACCCTAAACCCTAAACCCTAAACCCAAAAAAAACGCTACTCACATGACCTCGAAGGCGACTGCGGGGATGACGATGATGATGACAGGACCTGTGACATCTCCCCTTCCCAGACCCCTGGGATGGGTTTAGGGTTTAGGGGTTTAGGGGTTTAGGGTTTAGGGGTTTAGGGTTTAGGGTTTAGGGTGGGAAGTAGATCCCCCTAAAGGGGTCCAAGAAATTATCCAATAGTAGTATAGGGTACCATAATGGGGGTTCTACTTTCTAGATCCTCCCAGGGGTCTGGATACTGTGGATGGAGGAAATCCTGCACCATCCTAAGTTCCGTGATCGTTAGGAATTTAGAAAACTGTAGCCAAGGTGGTGCACGATTTCCTGCACCATAGGAGCTATAGTCTAAACTCCTTAAGGGGGATTGCATAGGGAAGTATAGGGGACGACTATTGGGGTTATTATGGGGGATACTAACCCTGAACCCTGAACCCGAAACCCTAAAATTAGGCTATGGCTCATAGTAGCTTTGCCTGCATCCCGTTCCAGCCGAAAGTCCTGCAAGGAGAAACTCGTGGCCCTGGCGCAGTTGAGATGCCAAGAGTGCGTGGTTTACGGTTTAGGGTTCAGACAGGTGGAGGTTTCCCTAATTAGGAGTACCTTTTCTGGGGTCCCTATAAACAAGTCTTATACTATTTTAGGGTCTATATTAGGGTCCTCCCATTTAGAGAAACTTCCAGGTCTTTCTCAACATGATGCCCATGATCCCCTGTACTCTAAAACCCAAACTTTGGGTACTGCCCCCACCCGGTAACTGTCTATATTAGGGGTCCTATTCAGGGCTATATGTAACCATATTATAAGTATTATCCAACTGTTACTGGGGGGGGGCAGTACCCAACCTAAACTCTAAAGCCATCCAGTCCCTAATAGGTTGGTAATCCTCTTCGTAGTCCCTACGTATCCCTGAAGGTTTCCAGGGCAGCCTGATACTGAGAAACATTCCGACTGAGGTTCAGGGTCTACCTTTTAGACCCCAAGAATGGGATTTCTTGGGGATTTTAATCAAACCCTAAAGCCTTAACTGGTGCAAGATTCCTCCATCCACCGTCTCCGAGTGCTTCCCAAAGTATACCCTCCGCGGTCCTTGAGGAGTACCTCTAGACCTGTATCATCCCTACCTAAGGTGCATTTTATGTACTGTAGCCGGTAGGGGGACTCTTAGAATCCCCATGGGATCCTCGAATATGATCATGTGGGGTTTAAAGGGTTTCGGGAGCCTAAGCCCTAAATCCTAAACCCTAAAAAAGCCTAGGGTTTCGGGACCCTAAGCCCTAAACCCTAAACCCTAACGCCTAGGGTTTCGGGACCCCAAGCCCAGAACCCTCTTGCTTTGCCAGGGCCTTGTATACGAGCGACTACCGAGCCGTAGCTTCGCCACAGGCAGCTGGCCTCTGCAAATGCATCCTCTTTTAGGGTTTAGGGTTTAGGGTTGGGGATTTAGGACCCTTGTGAGGGACATGGTAGGTATGTACAGGATTTGCATGGCGGATAATTTGATACAAGGCAGTGTGGCGTGGCATGGATAATTCTAAGTGTGCTTGGTAGTTTCCCTAGCTGTAAGATACCTGGGGGCCCCATAGGTACAAGTGAACTACCAAGCCAAGAGTAAGGCCTAGCCCTAAGCCTTCCCTAAGCCCTAGACCCTAAACCCCCCAACCCTAAACGCGCACCAAGCTAAGCCCGAAACCCTCGGCCCTAAACCCTGCGCCCTCAACCCTAAGCACTAAACCCTAGGCCCCAAACCTTGAAACCTAAGCCCTAATCTCTAAACTCGAAGTCCTGAGCCCTAAAGCTTAAACCTTAAACCCCTAAATCCTAATCCCTAAGCCCACAAACCGAGAAATTATAAAACCGTCCTTTGCAGGCCAAGCACCGGAAAGTCTCGGCCGCAGCCCTCAGTACGTCTCGGGTGGGGGTTCCTAGGGCCTGTAGGGTGTAGGGTTTGGGGTTTAGGGATTAGGGTTCAGGGTTCAGGGCGGGTTTTGCCCATAAAGGAAAATCAACTGAAGAAGAGACTGGAACATTCAAGGGACACTGGGGTTCTGCAGTGGTAGGACAACACAGTTTATGAGCAGGTTATGCGTGATTCCCTCTATAGTTTTTGTTAGGGGTGTAGGGTTTAGGTGCATGTTTAGTGAGAATCGGATTCACAATAAGGATTGCTTAAGTTATATCCTCTTTTAGGGGTGTACTACCCCTTTGATAGTAAATTGCCCACAATGCCGGAAGGCTCCCCACATCTAGTTCTTTCCTTGGGTCTTCCTTGTGCTTTACTCCTGAAGAATTCCCAGAACGTTATCTGTAGCCACCCATGGCCCCTCAAGCTATCCTAGAACCTAACCCTAAACTGTAAACTCTTAATTCTAAACCCTTTGAACTTCAAACCTTGAACCCTTTCAACCTCTAGACCCTAAACCCTTTAAACTCTGAACCCTAAATCCCCCAAACCCTACACCCTAAACCCTAAATCCCCCCAACCCTACACCCTACACCCTAAATCCCCCAAACCCCTACACCCCTGAACCCTGAACCCTAAACCCTAAACCCTAAATCCCCCAAACCCCTAAACCCTTCGTGTTTTTTGCATGGTTGAGGCCCAGCTCGAGCTCACAGAGACTAAGCAACGTCTGGAAGTTGCCTGCCCGCCCTGTCTTGGGGGCAAGAACTCCTTCGTACCTGGAGGGTCATGGGGGCTTAGCATATAAGTATGTTAACTGGATCAATCCTAGGAATCCTTTATACTTTTGGGGGGATAGGGTTCCTTATATTTATGTAAAAAGGATGCTTTTTTCTTCCTAGGGTAATGTGGGCTAAGTTAATAACGGGGATAACTATGGTTCCTATATGGGTTATATGGGTTACTGTACTGCCATTAAAACATGTCCCCCCATCCCTCCGGAAAATGAAATATATCATGGGGTCTAGTGTATATAGTGAATACCATGACGCGAGTTTAGCATGAAGGGATGAACGGGCTTTTGTCAACCCCGATGCTCAAATCCAGGACAGTAAATGTGTCATGTATGAGTTAGAGGGTGCTAATTTTTGGGTTCGCGGTTCCCAAAACCTTCCCGGTATTGCCAGAACCAGGCGATCTACGTTAGATTAGGGTACACTGTGGAGCCACCGCTACATGCAACGCTGTCGCTGTTCTGGATGGAATCCCAGCACTTCAGAATGAGTCAGAACATTTCAGGCCATGGCCAAAGGAAGGGAGCCATCTCAAATTGGCCATCTTCTTCTAACGGCAACTGCCATCATCTGGAGTTGTCTTCTGGGAAGCGATGTGACAGCCTATGGATGGTGTGGCTGCCATTGGCTGTGCAGAGGTCCACGAAGCATATACGCAAGCTGCAAGGCATGTGAGCTATAGCCTAGACGCTTAGTATCCCCCTTCATAACCCCCATAATACTGCCCTATATAATCCCCTGTCTATTCCCTTTTAAGGAATTTAGACTATATAGCTCACATCAGGCAGAGGCATCAACTGGAGACCTGTCGCAAGCATGCTTTCCACCGGCACTGCTGGAGGCCGGTCGCCGCATGGCCGAAAGAGCCATCAGCTCCAGGCAGGGAAGCCATTCGCAGCTGGGTGGGGTTTTAATACAACTTGAGCACTTTATTTCATGTTAAGGAGCTAGAAATTACACTTGTATTGGGGAATGAACCCCTAAACCCCAACCCTTAAACCCTAAGCCCTAAACCCTAACTGCTTAAACCCTAAACCCTAAAGCCCTAAACCCTAAACCCTAAACCCCTAAACCCTAAACCCCTAAACCCCTAAACCCTAAACCCCTAATCCCCTAAATTACCCCACTATAACCCCTAAGGAACAATCAAGGCACATCTACGTGGTCCGGAGCTTTGGTCGAGCGGCCTCCTTCAGGAGCATGACTTTAGGGGTTTAGGGGATTTAGGGGGT